GGGGCAATGAGGGGGGGTGAGGGGCGGGGGGGAATCGGGACGAGGGGGGTGACGTCACGCGGGGGGAGGGGGTCTTATCAGTAGATAAGCTTATCTTTGTTTATAAACATATCAGATAACCTGATAAGGGGATCATGTTACCTGATATATTTATAAACAAGATAAGATAAGGGGATCATGTTACCTGATATGTTCATAAACAAGATAAGATAAGATAAGCGGCGTCTTTGAGCGGTATCAAAGTTTTCATAAATTTTCTCCGAAAATCCAAGATAAGATAAGCTAAGTTTTCGAATCCAAGATAAGCGGCATCTTTGTAAGGTATCAAAGATAAGCTTGAGCGGTATCAAAGTTTTCATAAATTTTCTCCGAAGATAAGATAAAAATTCTGCGAATGGCTGCCGCCGTTTTTTAGGCTGAGCGCCGACAATCCTATTACTAAGGGGTTGCGTTTCTTCATCTAAATTTGATAAGATAAAAATTCTGCGAATGGCTGCCGCCGTTTTTTAGGCTGAGCGCCGACAATCCTATTACTAAGGGGTTGCGTTTCTTCATCTAAATTTGATAAGATAAAAATTCTGCGAATGGTTGCCGCCGTTTTTTAGGCTGAGCGCCGACAATCGGATATCTAAATTTGATAAGATAATTCTGCGAATTACTAAGAACAAAAGGTTTGCCGACAATCAAGCGGGTTGATCCGTACAGGTTGCGACATGTTAATCCGATCCGACGTGTCGATCCGACGGGGTGAAATTTATCTATGTATTTCTAAGAATTATCAGCGATATCTAAATTTTCTCCGAAGATATCACACAAATATTTCTCGCGAATTAACAATTGCATCATCATCCCCACGAACAAAGGGATGATCGGGATATATAATGAGGACCGATGCAGCTGCCGGGCCATAGTACCACTGGCGAGCGCACGCTTCATTCAGAATGTTTGTAATACTATCAAGTGCTTCCGACATTCTCAGTTTAAGTGCCGAACAGTTGCAATATATTCCGAAGATTGTTTTACTGCAAAAGTGCGGATATTTCGTAGAGCATTTGTGGGAAAAACTGCCGGAGCACATTAAGACGGATCCGGAGGTTCAGACATATTGTCGCTGCCTCGAACACTACAATCGGCCGTGGATGCGAACGCATATTGACGGTCCTGCACCGATGATCAGGGATTGCAGCGAATGTCAGCGAAAATAGGCTGAGGTTAAAAGTGCGAATAAGTGATAGACATTGAAAAATGGAGAGCGCACCGCAAAATCATGCGGAGTGTCATGAGAAGGGGTGTTATAAGACTGTCGAGAGATGGTATAGACATCTCGAGGTATGCTGTCACAATGAAAAAAAAAATAACCCGTTTTGTAATAAACGTGAAGCGGTGACTTCAATTGTACAATATGTACGAAATCGCGAACTTGGTGTGCGAAAACTGCATACAAGACGTGTAGCCCAGTTCCTGGAAACGCATGAAGACATTGTAAGAGTGGCTGGTGATTTATCTAAATGCACCAGAACGTCTAAGCGACACAAGCGAGTCGCATGTTATCAACGTCGATACAAAAATTGTGTCGATTATTTCACTGTGGACAACTATGAATTTGGCTACATGGACATGCCTTCACCATCGGTGTCATGCAAAACACAATCATCCGAAAATGATTCTGACCAAGAAATGGAGGAGGAGGAGTCAGATAGGAGAGAACCATCGTCATCATCATCATCATCATCATCATCGCCAGATTTTTTGTCGGCAGCCTATTTATCTTTTCTGTGATAAAATAGGTGTACAACATATGTGATATCAACGTGTTCTGAGAGAGAGAGTAGATATGTCTTCGCGGAAGGTGTAAACATGTCGATAGACAACTACTGAGCAGCCGCTATTTTTTGTTTCGTCGGAGATCATCTTTCGGAGATAATTGCATCATTGCATGAACAAAGGGATGACCGGGATATATAATGAGGACCGATGTCACTGCCGGGTCATAGTACGGTGACATTTCAGCGCAATAAGTGACTCGAGAATCAATTGTTTTTGCAAAAATGGAGAAAGACATAGAAGTAGTGATCTCCGACGATGAAGAGATGGAGGTGGTGGTCATCCCTAATGATGAGATGGAGGTGGTCGTCGTCCCGGATGACGAGATGGAAGTTATAACTATCTCCGACGACGACAGTGACAGTGATGGTGCGGTGTACGACAGGGAGGTGAATATCATCTTAGATGATATAGAAGAAATAGAGGGTGATGTCATACCCATTGTTGAGCAAGAAGAAGCAGAAGAAGAAGAGGAGGAAGAAGATTTGCATGACGATGGGTACGAAAGCGAAAACGCTGTTCGGGAGTCGTGCCACTCGCGTACGTTAGATGTACGAGCAATTGCATCCCTCGACGAAGAAACATGGGTATGCGTTATAACAGCATACATCTCACCAGGAGGGTCAGTGAAAATCTGCATTCCCTGTTTCATGAGAAACAGGGAAAGATTCGCAGCAACTACACTAACGCACAGGCACGTGACGATGCGGTACAGGGATGTACCGCATCTTTATTGCATCGATTGTTTAGAAAGAGTGTTCGTACTCTTCCTGGCCAACTTGTGCCCAATCTGTCAAGGCTGTAAGTATATATATATATATATATATATATATATTAAAATACCAAAAAAAAAATCTATAAAATAGTATAATAATTTATTATATTTCTATGTGCAGATGCCGAGACACAGTCTGACAGCGATGGTTAACGCGACCCCCTCTCTCGCAGTCGCAGCAGGCCCGCTGGCTCTCTCTCGCCGCTACCTCGAGCCGCCGGCTCTCTCTCTCGCTGCTCACTCGCCGTCACCGTATATATTTTTATATTTTATATTTTTTATTTTTTATATTTTTATATTTTTATATTTTTATATTTTTATATTTTTTATATTTTTATATTTTTATATTTTTATATTTTTTATATTTTATATTTTTATATTTTTATATTTTTATATTTTTATATTTTTTTATATTTTACATATATTATTTTTTATTTTTTATTTACACACACAGTAGAGAGGGTTTGGAGTCATTAAACCATGTGAAAAAGTGTTAAACAAAAAAGTATTTTTAAATAAAAAAATCTATAAATTGACAAAAATTTATGTTCTAAAATTAATATCTCTACAAAAAGTAATGTCCAAAAATTGCGCGAATAAATAAACATTTTTATAAAAAATTAAAATTTAAAAATTTATGCAAATTTAAAATTAATATAAAATAAAAAAAAATAAAAAAATTTTAGTTAAAAAAACTGGGCGCGCTGCTAAGTTTCAAAATTACAATGCACCTTAAAGTAACATTAATTAATTTAAACACAAAACATATTTTAACTGCAATGAGTTTAAAAGTAACAATTTAATTTTAATATCATTAGAATATTATTTAGCAGCGCGCCAAATTTTTTTAACTAAAATTTTTTTATTTCTTTTTATTTTATATTAATTTTAAATTTGCATAAGTTTTTAAATTTTAATTTTTTATAAAAATGTTTTTATACAATTCTAATTTTTAATACAATTCTATTGTACATGGCTTTGCAATGTAGGATTCTACATAAGTTTGCAATGGATAATTTTTAATACAATTCTACATGGGTTTACAATGGTTAATTTTTCATAGAATTTAAAAAGGGTTTGCAATGGTTAATTTTTCATAGGATTCCACATAGGTTTGCAATGGGTACGATTCTACATGGGTTTGCAATGGTTAATTTTGCCTAGGATTCTACATGGGTTTGCAATGATTAATTTTTCATAGGATTCTACATGTTAATGTTACTTTAAGGTGCATTGTAATTTTGAAACTTAGCAGCGCGCCCAGTTTTTTTAACTAAAATTTTTTTATTTTTTTTTTTTATATTAATTTTAAATTTGCATAAATTTTTAAATTTTAATTTTTTATAAAAATGTTTATTTATTCGCGCAATTTTTGGACATTACTTTTTGTAGAGATATTAATTTTAGAACATAAATTTTTGTCAATTTATAGATTTTTTTATTTAAAAATACTTTTTTGTTTAACACTTTTTCACATGGCGCATGGACTTGGCATCTTGTTTATCTTTTTTTTAAAAGATAAGTTTTTTTATGGTACGATTCTACATTTGCAAATTTAAATTTTTACTGATTCATTATACGACTCTATATATGTCTGCAACTTTAATTTCCACTGGTACAAGTTTCTACTTTTACTTGGCGCAATTTTTTTTTATTTCATTACTTTTGTTACAATTGTACATGGGTTTATAATCGATAATTTTTCATACAATTCTATTGTACATTGGTTTGCAATGTAGGATTCTACATTAATTTGCAATGGATAATTTTTAATACAATTCTACATGGGTTTGCAATGGTTAATTTTTCATAGGATTCTACATGGGTTTGCAATGGTTAATTTTGCCTAGGATTCTACATGGGTTTGCAATGATTAATTTTTCATAGGATTCTACATGGGTTTGCAATAGAATAGGATTCTACATGGGTTTGCAATAGGATAGGATTCTACATGGGTTTGCAATGGATAATTTTTGTTAATGGCGTGCCCTTAACTGGTCGCTTTTTTTTACCTTTTTTTAAAGGTGAGTTTTTCGAGATTATATCATTCATTTTTGTATATGATAAGCATCTTTAAATAAATAGGCAAAGAACCCGCCACCACCCCCGTCATATTTCAAAATACAACGGTCCTCTTTGCTTCATATAGATAAAAAAACTATCTTGTATTTTAAGTAAAAAATATTTTTTTTGCACTTAACGAATAATGCAGAATGTAAAGCGTTGTCATGAAATTGCTAATATATTACGAAACCTTTTTTTATATAGGACTGATCGAAATACAATATTAAATGATTAAATAGTAATAGTCATAAACTTGATATTATAAAAATATATTTTGGAAGAATTTTATAACTACTTTATTTTATATCGAATTAGTATTATTTATTACCTATTTTTTTTAAAATATTATATAAACATCTTTAGCACCTCTAGGCCACTGCCTCTTTTTTACTTCTGCATCATCTATTTCGATCCAAATATTAGATAATCCTTCTCTACATATGCTTACATAATGACCTTCATCGGTGCACGAACTATCATAAAGTATAGCACTCATCGTCTTGTACAATTGTCCCGCTATTAATACTTTAGTTGTTGGAACAGCACATAAATTAAATTTGTTTTCTGCTTTTATTAATTTACCATCTTTTGCTAAAAATATTATTAAACGAATAACAATTATTTCTCTTGTTAATGTTACTTCATTTTTAAATATTTGATCAGTTCCAGTACAATATTCACATGATTCGTTGTGTAAGTGAAACCAATGTGAAAATGTATAATTTAATAATTCATTAAGATTACAACTTTTTTTCTTTAAATTATCAAGGGAAATTGAAATAGCAATATTATTTTCAACCATAGTTTTTGTATTACCACATGTTTTGCATCGCTTGGTAGAAGTTACTTGATGTTGTATCAAATTTGTAATGCAATCATATTTTTCGCAAAGTGCCGTAAGAAAATCGTACGCGTTTCGTCTTACCATACTCGAAAAATATTCTCCTAAACATTGCCGTATTGCATATGTATTTAGATTTCGCATTCCATTTTCATATCGATGCATTAATATACGTAAAATGTCTGTTTTATCGCAATTAATCAACTGCTGCCTAATAATATTTAAATGTAATAAACATTGCAATACTGTATTTGCATAACATGAAATCTTGTCTGTATTCTGAAAACCACGTATGATCCAAGCAGTGCTTTGAATTCTTTTATTTGAAACCATATGTTGAATTTTTCGATCTGAATTTGATTTTTGAACAGAAGTAACTATTTTTGGTAACGCCCATGGAACATCTTTTACTTTACGACAACGTTCTTTTGACACAGCAATCATTTCTGCTTTCGGATTGTATATCTGTTTTAAACGATTATATTCAATAATAGCTTTTTCGTTAGCTATTACTGCTGAAGGATCAAAGTTTATTAAATTCACTCCTTCTAGAGATGTTACTCGCGACAAGGCAACATAAATTTGACCACAACTAAATACAGAGTTGCCAATATCCATAACAACACTTTGCAAACTTAATCCTTGGCTTTTATGAATAGTGATGCCATAACTTAAAGATAATGGAAATTGTTTTCGAATCACATACGCTCTATCCAATACCTGAAATTTAGCCGTTACTCTTTCAATTTCATATTCTAAACCTGATGGTAAAAGAAGTTTAATCTTTTCTACGTCATCAGTAGATGTTTCTCGTACAATTGAAATTACTTTAGCAATTGTACCGTTTACAAGACCCAAACTGGCATCGATGTTACGCCGAATCATAACTTTTGCTCCAATTTTAATTGTAATTTGTTTTGAAAGTCCAGCTGTTCGAGAACTATCATCATCGTTATTTGACAATACTTTTAATACTTTCTTTTTTACATATGTTGTACAATCAATCGTATCTTCAGCAATTAATAATATTTCTTTGGAAGTAATGCGACTTAACATTGCATTATTAAGGACATCACACATATTACAAGTAGGAAATAAACAAACAGTGTCCGATGATAAACTGTTAATAAAATCACATAATTCATTTAATCTAGATTCGAAAGAATCAGCTTTGAAAAATATTTTTCTACTCTCTAGAATTTTACAATCAGATTTTGTCACTAAACCAATACGAATTCGCGACAATAATTCACGGTATGAATTATCTCCTTGCTGACGCATATTGATTATCAATTCATCATATTCAAATAATGTAATCCATAAATTAACAGCATTTAAAGAACCAAGATAATTAGCAATTTTTTTATCGGATAAATGTGTAAAGATAAGATCTTCGCGTACAGGAGGCAATTGAAGCAAGTCTCCGAATAAAAGAATATGCTTTCGACCAAACCAACCATCATCGCAATCACTAGTATCAAATATCTCAGATAATCTAAGATGAATATATATTAAAGTCAAATTAGATATCATTGACACTTCATCAATTACGAAAAGAATAACATCTTTAAGATCTGTTCGTAAAACTTTTAATACACAATCAGATAATTGTTTATACTTATGAGTTTGACCATGTTCAACAGGTAATTGAAGCAATCTATGAATTGTCAAACCATCTATATTAAATGCTGCTATACCAGTAGGTGCTGTTACAGCAGTATCTTTGTTGATATTTTGTTTTATCCAGCATTTAATAGTCTTGATTAAGAAACTTTTTCCAGTACCACCTTCTCCGCTAACATATAATCGTAATATTGATTTATCGGACTCTACAGCATTGGTAACTTTATCAAATACTCGTTTTTGATCCGTATTTAATTTTACTATCATGTCAGATACATCAATTTCTTGAATTGCTCTATCACCAAGATCTTTAAAATCTTGCATTGCTTCACCAGCCTCTATATTTTGAATACCTATTGCATTTTCAGGATCATCCTGAGACTGCTCTTTTTTCAAATCGTCATCTAAACATTGCTGAACTAACTGTTTTGCAGTTTCAAATGCTTTTTGCAATTCTTCTAATTTTTCATGATATTGCAATGCTTCTACAAGATGCAGTTTTACTTTGTGAAACGATTCGGTATAAGTATCGCATTCATTTTTAAGATCCTCTAATTTTCGCCATGGTTTAAACATAAGCAATAACGCAAAGAAATAATTTTCAGGCTGTGTATTAACATTATATCTAAAATGATTAATAAGATATCCGCGCTGTCGCCGTTTAAGATAACAACCATTACCTATTTTATAATATTCAATAAACTTATTTTTCGGTTTGATCTTTGAGATATCGTACCACTGTGCAAATTCATAAAGAGACGTATTTTCTAATTCGTTTGGTCTATGTGGATAATGATCATCTGTCAAAGATTGATAAAATATATCTGTAGATTCAGGATCAAGAGCTTCAATTTCTTTACGATTTTTTAATTTTCTATATCGTATTTGATTAACATCTAACCATCTGATGGTTGTATTTCGATCAGTTCCATACAAAGGAATACCTAACAATGTATCAGCAGCTTCGAGAGCTCCACATTCTCTATTATTCGTAAATCGCAAAGCAATATTCCAAAGATGACTCGCTAATGATTTGTTTTTGTTATCCTTACTATCAAGAATATTCTCAGATAATTCACTTTTTCCCGCTTTATTCATATATTTAGTAACATACCAGGTTAGCAGCGATGATTTTTCACCAATAAATTGTATATCCATATTACCTTCCCATGCAGTAAGAAGAACAGGATTATAGTCATTTATGTTACCTTCATTATCTGTTCGAGGAAGATCGTAAAGTCTACTTTTATGTTTCAATTGTTTTCTACCGGCTATCGAAGTTGCCACATCCCTGATATTCAAAGTTTCAGTAACGGGACGAGGAAATCCAAAACGACATCGACGAATAACTTTACGTCCTACTTTTTTAGAACGAAGACAATAATCATTATGTGTATGTCGCTGATGCGTATCAACACGTCTGTACAACAATGGCGAAATATTTTGATCCGGTATTGTGCAGCTTATATGTTGTGAAATAAATTTGGAAACTTCCTCAATAGTAGATTCACCGAAAATTGGTGCATTTTTAATCCAAATTATTAAGTGAAAATGTTGTATACCTCTACCTTGATATTCTCGTCGCCAGAAATAGTGCGTTACTTCTCCAATTGGATGATCTTTAGATCTAATAAAGTCAAGCATTGCCCGAAACTTATTATCGAGAAACCTGGATGTTGATACTGGATCTCTAACAACGAGTGCGCTAACGCTTAAGGAAGCGTCATGCCATTCATTTACTTCACGAATATATTCACCTAAATCTTCCCACAACCACTCACTTGGACTGAGTGTTAAAAACCATGTCGCAGGTCCATAATGCTGCGTCATACAATTTAAATCATTTCTCGGTTTACACCAATATTGCTCCGTATTTCGAAGTGTGGCAAATATTGTACTCAAATTAGATTCCAACAATTCTTTCGACATTGCGTCTAGGTATTCTGCAGCTGTATAACGAAGTCGCGGATTAGTTACATTCATTTTATGAAAAATTCCACGACTTAATTGACGCATATTTGCATCGTTCAATAAATAAAATACATATTGTAGATTTAATCTATACTGTGGATGTTTAGATGTCAAACGACATTTAATAAATTCATGATCATGAAGTTTAACTTGTCTAATCTCACGTTGTCCATTAATACCAGAAGAATATAAATCTGGAAAACACATTAAATCTAAATGTTGCTCACGATTGTTCAGAGGCAAGTCATGAATTTTTAACATTTGATATAAAACTGTCGCAGTTTTATTTGCTTTCTTTTCATATAAGGGATAGATGGTATATTGTTCGTAATAACCATCGTTTTCAGCATTAGTCACTTGAGTCAACATTGCTTTCCGTTGACCTTCTAACATATCATTTTTTATCTCTTCTATCGGATCATTTAATAATTCAGTCTCATCAACAGTTACTTCTGCATTACCTTCTGTCTCATTTAATAATTCAGTCTCATCATCAGCTATTTCTGCATTATCTTCTGTCTCATCTTCTATTTGAAATTCTGAATTTTTTAATATTGGTAAACGTAAATCATTGTAATCATTTGGCAATATAATATGAGAATATAAATTATTGTTGCGCTTTAACCACGTTAAAGCGTCAAATACTTTTTTAACATCAACTACCTCTTCCCAAATAATCTTTGATTTTGTCGGGATACCTCTAACTAATATATATAACTCATGATTAATATTTATTGGATCAGTATTAGAACATAATTTATTCAATGTCTCCTGTAACGGAAGTGGTAAATGAAATGTTCTACCTTTAACTTTTGATACCATTTGTCTTTGAGGCAACTTTTTATTAATAACAGTTCCCATTTTAAGGACAGTTTGAAACGCTTTAGCTCTCTGTATAAGAATTTTTTCGAATGTATTAAGAGATGATATTACTTCAGGCACCTGATTTGTAAAGAGATTATTTAAGACGCAGTATGCAGGCATTAAGCCTTTACTAAATTTGCCTGCACAATAATTACATATATATTGCGCATCAACTTTTTGTTGTTGTACATACGTCATTAAATCTTTCCAAATTTTAACATGTACTTGTGTCTGTAGACTATTGACTTTAGAAACACTTTTTTTATAACACAATCTCTCGCATGATACACAAACATGTCGTGGTGTGTCCACAGTGCGTTTAGTCAATGCTTTAAATGCTAAACGATATTTAAACATAATATCATCATCACTCAAAATTGTATCAATCCGTTGATGTCTGTACATATCTACTTTCTCCTGTGCATAAGTCACAATTTCATTCAAAGTATTCATATCAGCATTATTTAAAGCATCATCTAGATTTTCCAACTTTCTATAAAAATATGTAAGTTGATAAATTAAACGCTTTATATATCTTACTTTTGGAAAATGAGGCGATAATAATTGAACTGGAAGAAACATTCCTTCGCAAAGTGTTATATTAATATAACAGCTACGCGTATGACCCAATTTCTCATTTGAAATTTTCATTGTACATTTATGAATATTTTGCATAAGTTTTGGTACATTTTTTAAAGTACATGTATTTACGGTTTCAAGAAAATTCTGATAACGATCAATTAAAAGCGGATCGTTAATTTTACAGCTTGCAGTATTACACATCAGTTTTGGTTCATTGTTTAAGGTACATGTATTTATGGTTTTAAGAGACTTATGAGAACGGTCAATTAAAAGTGGATTGTTAGTTTTATAGTCTGAAATATTACACGACCAAGATTTTTTAGCTTGTTCTGTTGTTAATGGTAATATGTTTACTACTTTTCCTTTTTCATTCATTATCAAAGTTTTCAATGGATTTACATCATGATGATATGTAGACTCAATAAAATAATTTTCAGATGAGGCTGTATGTCTAGATTCGCCACATAGCGCAGTTAATTTGTCTTCGATTGTAGAACAATCTGCGACAAGAGTCAAATACACTTCTGATTTCTTTTTAATCAAACTTAACATTTTGTATATATTGCGAATATAATTTTTCCTAATACACATGCACCAACGTACAATTTTTTCTGCTTCTAATCGTTTCTCAATATAACCTTTAATATTGATTTTTTCAATAATATTTTTTATAAATATTTCTGAACAATTACGAAGTTTTATGGTATTCTTCGAACAGAATTGTTTATACTTTTTAGTAATTTGTTTAGCAATATTAAAAGTTTTTATTTCAAATGTAGATTTTGTTTTGATTTTTTGTCTTTTTGTCTGATAATATCGCTTATTATAAAGCCATTTGCGATTAGAATCCAATCTTTTTTGTCTATCTCGTTCATATTCAAAGTTTTTCGAATAACGCATACGCTTTTGTGCGCGTTTATTTTCTAAATCTTGTTCATATCGATATCGAACTTTAATGCGTTCATCTTCTAAGTTACGTTGATATCGATTACGCTTTTTAGCGCGATTGTCTTCTAAATTTTGTTTATAACGATTACACTGTTTAGCGCGATTATCTTTTAAATTTCGTCTATATCGATTGCGCTGTTTAGCGCAAATGTCTTCTATATTTTGTTTATAACAATCACGTCGTTTAGCGCGTATATCTTCTAAGCTCTGTTTATACAGATCGTGCTGTTCAATGCAATTATTCTTCGAATCTTGCTCATAAAAATCATGTTGTTTAGCCTGATTTTGTTCTAAATCTTGTGAATAGCGTGCACGTTTATTTACACAATGATTTTCCAAGGCATGCTTCTTAGTTTCTTCATAAATATCATTGTTTGTTTTCATTAAATTATTTGAATTATTTTCTGTTAATTGAAATTGATTATTAATTAACTCTTTTTCAAGTTGGTAAATATGACGTTGCTCTTCTAACCGATTCAAATATTGTCGTTCCGTCTTATATTGACGTATAGTACGTTTACGAGATGCTTCAATCTCTCTTGCTTTTATTACTGCTAATGGAAGCACCTTTTGAGAAGCATATTGTGGATTTTGTGGAAAATGCTCAATAACATTAGATTCAAAAATCTTAATTAAATGCAAACGCATTAAACTATGATCATATTTTATTTTTTCGGGTTTAATATTGAATAACAATGAAATTGCAAAGGCTATTGCAAAAACTCCGCAATCGCTACTGTTTGGTTGGTATTGTACAGTAGGAAATTGGATAGAATTTTTTTCGAAGTTATATGTTGGAAATAATCTTTTCAAGAATTGTTCATGATGTCTATGCAATTTTTTATTATTTAATGAATCATAAATAAATATATTTTTTGTATCATAGTAACTGCACACCCAATGTCCATCTGATGGACCTGACGAACTATGTAATATTTGTATATGTTTTTTATCAATTGGCATAGGCTGAATCGTATCAAGAAGTTGTAATCGCCATGT